GCCATAAACAAGACCGAAACTTTCGCTAAAGGAGGAAAAGAGGCGAAAGTCCAATAAAAGTCACGCAGTCCATGATACAGAATAGTCAGCAGAAAAGTCGGACAAGTCCTATTCGCTGGACAGGAGTGTATAAAATGAAATATAAAAAAAATAAAAACACGAAACAAAACAAAACAAAGCTAACTGCGTGATACGGTAATTGCTTAAAGGAAACCCTTGCTTACAATTTGCAACTAGGTGGCAACACCGAGTCGCTTTTCCTGCTTTTTCCCCGCTTTGTTGAACCGGTTACAACTCTCCGAGGACGAGATTTATGCGATTGCCGATAAGGACACTCGGCCAAGGAGTCGTCGAGTCAAGTCCTTTGTCGTGTAATGGCATTCGTAAGCGTTACCAACGGAAGCTCCTTGAGGCAATCACATTGTCCTTATTACACCCATCCTCCTGATTTTCCATATTACCGCCTAGCTAGTTGAAAATTTGCCATTTCCATAGCGAGTTTTTCCTCGATTTTATTGTTCTTTAAATGCTGATTTCAATTAACATTGGAAAGCAAACAAAAACTTGTGTTTACGTTAATTATTCATTTACAATCCGGACTTTCGAGCCCCACAAAGCACTTTTTTGTTTACGCTTGCTGAGAGTCGCATTTTAATTGGTCCATTTCAATTGTTTTTTCCAGTAACATATTTATGATAATGTCTTTAGTTGTTTATAGAAAAGCCAGGGGCCGTACATTTTGGGGCGTGAGAAGCTGTCTTCGCACAGCAAAAATACATATTTATGAAAGTTTAAGTTTACGAGTCGCCATAATATTAGCTTTTATCGATAAAGTTATTTTTGACAAAGTCTAGACTTGAACATTTTTACATCGATTTGCATTGCATTAATTTTCAGAAAATGCTGTAGGCGAATCTCTTTAAGCGCATTTTTTGTGCCGAACCACTTTCAATTTATAAATGAAAGCGATTTCTTTAGAAAAACTGTTTTCGTTCAACTGGGTCGACGAGAGTGTATTTCCCATCATTTATAATAGAGAGAAAAATCGCGGAAAATAAGTGAGTGGTGGAAAAGTTTCTCGCATAATTTACAACTACGCTCTACTTAGCATTTCCATTAAGATCTTGCAGCCAACCTGTGTTGACCTTTGGACCCAGACCGGGAAACTTCCCGGTGGCCAAGTTAATGCGGCTACAAATTCGCGCTATCATCGTGGAACGCTATCGGCGTCATTCATCATGCGCTGCCAAACAATTGACAACCAGAGGACGAGGATGATGAGGAGGACGGCGAGGCTCCAGGACACTAAAATCCACCGGGTAAATCCAGCGTTTACCTGCAAATGAAACTTTTGAATTTTGATTGCGTTGGCGTTCGTTTCGTTGGTTGGTGTTGGAGTTCATTGTTATGTTAAAGTGCTTTCTTTTTATCTCTTTTTCTTCTTCAAAATGGGTCGTCAGAGGTGATGGGAATCATTGGTTACGCTGAAGGATATTTCTTCATTTGCAAAAATTTTTAATATTCTTTAGATATTACTTATAAAAAAAGTTACGGTTGTACAATAATGATATATATGGCACTATATTCCTATAAATCTTCAACTATATCTAAAAATACACATCTCTAAAAGATAGTAAGACGGAAGGTGGGTGTGTTGTCAGTTCGGGCACTTCATATGCAAAGTATGATCCACTTAATGCGATTTATAACGCTACTCCTTGGTCTGAACTGGCGTGGAATGGAATGGGAGGAAAGTAAATATATATTGGGCAAAGAGTGCTGAGTAAACTAGGTGGGAGTAAGGCTGCAACAGCTGTACGTCGGGTACGTCTCCATATACGCTGAGCTCGTTTGTTCCGCCTGTCATGCCCATCATCTCTGGGATTCCATCCGACCATTTCACCAGCCCAGCATCCCACTATCATGCCATCCTGTCAACCATCAACGCTGTCGCCTTCGTCCTTTGCCTTCGATGATGCTGCGCTTTCGGTCGGAGCGATTATGCCGAGTATGCCATTGTTGCCTCAGCCCTAGGAAATCCATTTGAAATCCCCAGTTTAGTGTGAATTTATACGAAGAAAACTCACTGTTCTGTCTCTGTTTTGCTATCTGATTCAGCTGCCCTTTATGCTCGTGCTTACCTCATAAACTGGCTATATTTCGTTGTTTTAATTTAACGCCAAAAGAAAGAGAGCTGCTTAAAAAAAGGAAATCACCATCTTCGAATATTCCCCATTTTAGCTTAATCCCCGGTTACATAATTGTGCGCAAACGCTTCCATTTAACGCAGATTTTTATGATTTTTTTCGGACCTCGATTCGATGGCTGCTAAAGCGCTCGACGGGGGCCAAAAGTAAACTCGGGCACCCGCGACGTATGCGTAATATTGTTAGCCATTGTTCTTCGCCCTGTTTTCCCTTTCCCCGGGAGAATTTTCACTGCCGTATAAACTTTATTCAGGGGATGAGAAAGAGGATGAAGGATGACTGCGTCATGCAAGGATTTATATATATATATTTAAACATGAGTGCCAGCAACTGCAAGCAGATGTCTTTGTATTATTCTGACTCGAGAATGGTATTATAATGTTTCAAAATAGTATAACAACGTATTTAATTCGAGTTTGTGAATAAATCGAATTTAAAGCATTTGTTTATCAGCCATTGAGAACATTTGTTTGTGTTTTGAATGTGTTTGTTTGAATTTTGTTGACTTTAGCTACTGAATACTACATTTTTGATAAATAAACTTTGTATCAACTAAAAACTTTGAGACAACATTTTCAAGTTTATTGCTAAAACAGCAGCTTAATTTTTTTTATAGAACTATTAGAGAAAGAATGCTGTCATAAGAACATATTAGTATTATCAAGAAAGTTAAGTGTAAAACTATGTAGTGCCGTAAGAAAATAGTCTCTTGAAAGTTGCCCGCCTGCAAGTTAGCGACTCATTAGCAGCTACTTAAAAACTACTCGAGTAAAAGCTGTCAAGTGCTCACACTCACACTCGCACTCGCAACTTCAACCCTTGCCACATTTTATACTCAAGCAAATGGGCTGTCTTGCAGTATTCAAAATGTCGCATGACGGTGGCAAATGTCAACAGAACTCCACATCCAGGTAAACTGACTGCCAAGTCTCCGGGGTCCAACAACTCGGGTCTCCAGTCCTCTGGCGGTTAATTAAAAAATGGAATTCCTGAGCCACTGCTAGCACACACACAGCAGAAAAAGTGTTGAAGTCTCGCTTCTGGGGATAGCAACCATTTTGGTTTAAAGCTGATGATTAATATGGCATTTGGTTTAGTGCAGAATAACACTCCATTTAGTCCTGGCTCACTTCACTTTTTTGTTCAGCTGCTGCGCACCTGTCAATGAGCTCATTAAATTGCAATTTGAGCAGATAGCTTAGAGGAAATGGAGCTTGAGCTTCCCTGATTACCAGCAACTACTCCAAGTCCAAAGTTTCATATTCTCTTATTTTTCTCACACTTTCTTAACAAAGTTGAACTGCATTTATAATTAAATATGTCTGCAGCTTTACTTACTCTTCGGTTTTTGTTATATGCTTTTTCTTTGGAGTTAAGGGAGTTATTTGAGTAAAGCTGGAAATGGTTATAGCCAGTAAGAAGATAAAAAGTTTGCTAACTTTCTTTATATCTATTTTAATTTCATTATGAACTGGTTTCAAAAAGTGTTTATAAAACTTTTTAAGACTAATGTGATTTTAAGAAGGTAATACTTAATAAGAGATTAATTTACCTCTTTATTGAAATTAAAAACATTTTCTTTTAAATCCTACACTTTAAGAACAATTTTCATCTGTGAATGCGTTTCAATTTCTGATATTCGTATATAATTCCCTGACAGACCAATAAAATTGTCACATTTCACAACATGTCCCTGACAGTTGTTTGCGGCCAGCAGCTTCGCCTCCTTCTTCTTTTGAGTCCAGCTCAAACTGTTTGCTGGGTCAGTTTATTGTCGGCCAGGATGAGCGGGAACCGCCCGGCCGATGTTGTTTCTGTGGGGTGCATCATGCATCATTGAAATATGTTTTTCGTTTACAGCTGCTGCAGAACGAGCCGAGGCCGACTGCAAAAATATTTTAGCAGCAGGGGCAAAAGGCATCATCCTGCGGTCCAACCACGATACCGCAGCAGGCGGCCGACCCGAAACCAAACATACATAAAAAAAGGCGAAACACCAGAAGCAAGGCCTTCATTAATCTTCTTCAATGTCCGGCACATACTTTAACCCATTCCAGCAAACATATACATACATATATATGTTTGGGTTTGGCCGCAATATAAACAATTTGCACATTTTAAGTTGATTTCTTTGGCATCCTTTGGCCCACATCCTTGGATCCTGGCAGCAGTCACGCGTTGCATACGTGTGTATTAAGTATACGCCGTGTGCTGTCCTGCGAATTGGCTTTTCTTTTTCTGGTTGGCACGGAACAGCAACTTTATGTGCATTACGTGCACACAAACAACACATAAAAACGCAATCCCAGCGATTTCCAGTATCTGCAGCACATCATTGGAAATTGTAATTTAAAATTATCGTGGTCAGTTCTGTTGCCATTCCGAATGTTGGCTAAAAAACAAACAGAATTGCAGAATTTCGTAAAATCAATTAGCCGTGACATATGCATAGATAAACAGAAATCAAAAGCCTTTGGCAGTCAACACTGTAGTTATACTTGCCGCACCTGAATTAGCATAGGTGAAGCCTCAATTTACATGCAAAGTATTTTGCCAATATTGGCATGCATACATTGCGCATACGACGTGTGGACCAGTTGATTTGCGTTCATATTGGTCCGGAAATACATGCAATTATTTGTCTATAGCTGAAGCTTGGCTCCAAGAGTCCGGCATTTTAATGAACAGACATTTGATTAAATAGCTAAAGACCTGCATCATTTTGTTGCACTTAAGGCTTTGCCCAAATCGTAAACACTTAATCTCTAAATGCAAACAAATAGCTACGGAAGTGCAAGTTTATTAAACAATATTCAGTTGAAATAATTACATTGTCTGAAATCTGAAAATTGGATCTCATCTAATCTGAAATTAGATCTCATGCTAATATAAACGTAATCTAATCAAATATTTTTGTTCTTTTCAATATAGATAATTTTTGTAATTAAACCTATTTTGATTTGACTAATCCAGAGAAAATATTCCGAGACTGGTCACTTCCAATTCAGTACTAGAAATGCTTGGAGATAATGTAGTTGAACTCTTATTGCAATCCAGGTTATACGGCTGTCCTCTTTGTTTTTTAGGTCGATTTGATAAGCCCTCAGATACTTGATCGAAGATCGATTTGGCTAGTTTTAGTATAGCTACGTGGGCTACAAATTGCAGGATCATGGCACCAAAACCCTTGTAGAGTCCAGAAAAACCCTCAGAAATAAGAGTGGATCGATAGCAATCGAAAACTCCTCGATAGTCTGTAAGAATCGGGACAACTGAGTAACCATTATCCAGATTATCGATTATTGTTCGTGTGCCTTGCAATTGCAATCGGTGTAGAATAGTTTCAAATGGGAAAAAGATAACCTCCGTTGTGAGCAGAGCGATAAGTCCGGCGTATATTTCAGCATTTTGGTGCTCCAGCTTATCATCGGAAAACTTTACGACCTGATTGTCCTGCCAAAATGATTTCCTCCTCAGCATCATGCGAGTGGAAACTCCATGGATTAATAAATTAAAAAGATACTTTGTAATGCCAATCGAAACACAGGGACCGATTAATGCCCAAGTTGGTAAAACACGGCCATTTTGCGTGGAACTCCAATAGAAAAGACGAAGACCTCCTTCTCGTACAACATCCAAGAGACCTGTTTTTTCGCTAGCAATGTCACTTTGCACTGTTTTCACCAATGAAACGGCGTGGAATGGCGCAACTACCCCGATGCTTATACTTTTCAAAAGGACATGCTGGCCGAATCGCTTTAAGGTCGTTCGACTATCTATTTCTTTGGGCCAACTGGTGACTTTCGATATTACATCGTCGATGGCACAGGACATTCCTCGCACAAGGAGGCAACTGCTTATTCCCTTCCATAACGTCGTTAGTCCCTGGCGTCTGTGCAAATGGACAATACTGGGCAGAAGGGTAAACGGATGTAAGTGGTAACATTTGGAAGTATTATAAACCTGACACTGCCAACGCAATACTAGAAAAGGATGGCTGAGCACATTTTCGGTAAGTAGAGAAACCCAATGAACACCAACGACCGAATACTTGCGAAATGATCCGTCCCGATCCTGGTTATCTAAATATTTGTCCAGCATAGCATGTTCTAAGCTAGGATATTGGATTCTTGCAATGGCATCTTGGTCTGCATTAAGATTTTCCACAATCGACTTCTCGCGGCAATCAATGATGCTTTCTAGGGATTTTTCAGTACTACAGCGAGTGCTTACTCGATGTTCTTCAGAAGGATCTTCAATAACTGGTTCACTATTCCTTTCAAGTTTTAGATCAGCAACGTTTTCCTGGTCCTCCATTCTTTAAAAGCTTTTGTATGTATTTTATATATTTTGGGTATGTTTGAGATGAAAGTTTAACATATCTTAATGTGTTCAAGAATTTGGCACTACTATTCAAAAGTAAGTGTATATAATGACAAATAATGATAAGATTTCTATGAAATCTTAGGTAGCAATTTTCTTTTAAAAAAATGCATTTCATTATAATATCTGCAGATGTCATAAAACTTCTTACGTTTAAATTTAATGGTAACTCGTTGGGCAACCTTCATTTTGCGAGCATCATTTTTCATCTATTTGCGAGGCAGCCGAGAGAAATTTAAAATATTTCCTCACTTTAGGTAATGTGTATTGCTTTCAAATCATACTCAATCCTGCGGCTTGCGGTTGGCTTTTAGTCTACGGGAATCAAAGGACATATTGTACGCCGCGTGGCATCAAGTGCATCATGTGGCAAGCGTAGCCGGCAACAATGACATTGTCTTCGTCAGGAATCGCTGGAATGGGAAGGGGGAGGAGTAAAGATTGACATGCACATTATGCGGGTGGAGGATGTTTCAGGAGGGGATGGTTCTGGGTTGGCATGGCGCCCAACTCCAAAGTCACAAAGTCAATTCATGGCTCCTGCAGCCGACGCACATAAATAAGCCCGGCCAAAGTTAGCCCAGTAAAAGGCTTTGACGGATGGGCGGCTGACAAAAGTGGTTTTTGGGTGGCGGAGTCCCCTAGTTGATTGCGCATTAATTTGTGAGCCACTCTCTCTATGGCTCTGGAATCCTTTAACCATTTTACCTCAAGGCTGTCTGAGTTATTATTTGCTTAAAGTTTTCTTCAGCCAACAATAAAATGCACAAACGCAGTGTCTTGTGAATGCACAGCCAGCTAAAGAAAAGTTTGAAAAGTAATAACAATGGCAAACTTACTGAAAGTATATTACAATGATGATGTTGATGGCTGGAATGCATTAAATTAAATACAATTGAAAATAAAGCAATTCGAATCTGCAGCTAGCTTTGTTTTTGCCTGCCTTATTTACATGCAGTTTTCAGTTTGTTTTCCGGCTCTTGTCAACATCATCCAGCCCAAAAATAGAGAACAGCGTTCCAAAATTCTTATTTCCCGGAAATTTCACGGTGTTTCAATGGATAATTATATAATATATGTTACACTTTCTAAATTGTATTTATTTTGATTATTTTTAATTTAATAGCAAAACATTGACCTTAAAATATTTTTTTACTTACAGAAAGTGATTTTTTCTTCTTCTGCATGTTTTCTGAAATAAAATAAGAGATATTAGAATAGCTTATTTTATCGTTTCGCCCAAACAAATAGAATATAAATCGAATAAAAATGTTTTTTCGTAGAAAGTTCAAGTTCACATGGCATCGCACCCCATAAAGTATGCAACATAAATTACCAAGACCCGAAATCCCTTCCCAGAACGTATCCTTTTCTGTTTGTTTGTTGCTCTCTTAATGCGATTGCATTTAAATTTATAGCGTTGGCAACAAAAGTGCTGCATATTCCAGCATATTTTCTGGATTTTTTCCTTCTTTTTTTGGCACTGCAATCAGAAGTGTTTGAGTGCCGGAAACAACTCGTTTTTCTTGACGGCAGCAGGGAGCAACACGTCGCTGTTTCGCTGCCTATCTGCGCTGTTTGTTGATATTATTATGGTTGTTGTTGTTGCTGTTGCAATGGTTGTTGCTGTTGCAAGTTGCATGCATTTGCACTTGATAAGCAAACACGAAGGAGACGGCTGGTAAGAAAAATCAACACGGCCCGGGAAATATGCATGTTCTTGTTACCGGTAGATTTCCATTTTAGATGGCGAAGTCGTCGCCGTGGCGTTGTTTATATTTATGATTGGGGCGTGGTCCGCCCTACCCAGGGATGACGAGTTGCCGTGCAATCTGCGCCTTATGCAAACCAATCGAATGTCACTTAATTGGCTTTTTATGCGCCGCCCATCTGCTCCTCTTTTTATTCTTTAAGTTTCCAATCCGGCACAAAAATTGCAAATGCATTTTGGAGTTGCAAGGACATTGTCATAATGTTTTTATGGAACTCTTATTCAAGTAAAAAGTCAACAGCAAAAAACCTATAAAAGAACTTGCTAAGAAATATGTTGCTTTCTCAGGCTCAGCTGGAGAGCTCAAACAATAAAATGCACAGGGAAAAATTATCAAATATTACTCAAATATCTCTGCAATTTAGAAAACAAGTAAAGTTTTTATTTTAGTGGGTAAAAAATATGTAAAAATTGAATGAAAAGAGAGAACATATAATTAACAATTTGTATTTAAGCCTTCCGTTTATATTTAAAACGAATTTTTCAAAATGACACACATTTGAATTTTATTGAAAATTTGTATTTGATATCTCCTGTTGATGATATATTTTTTGCCATACGTCTGCTTTCATGGCTTTGACGTTCAGCACTTGTAGTTTGATGGCGTTGTTGTTGCCCTGGAACCCACTTCTACACTTTTCGCATACATCTTGAGCCCGAACAAAACAAGTTGTTGATCACATAAAGCTGACTTCAGTCTAGAACAGAGCACGGAAAACAGAGAGCTAAGCCAAGAGCCTCGACCCGAACCGAAACTGAACGGGCGTCACTTCTTGTTTTTGTACCGGAGGTTCAAAGGTAACGCAAATGGGCACGACATGCAACCAGGGGGCAGTAGGGGGGCTTGGTTCTGGGTCGAAGGTGGCCAGGAATGCCGCCAACAACTAAAACAAAACATTGACATAAATACGTGAGCGCTTCTGTGGCTGCGGTTACAACAAAAGTTTGTGTTTTTCCCTGTTTTTTTTTTGGCTTGTGAAATGCCCTTGGAAAGTAGGTATTACAAATTGCTGATGAAGTCTGCCGGGAATATATGGCTGAGAGTGGGTGTGCTGGATTGGAGGGAAGTTTTTCTGGTGTCCTCGGGTATGGTTATAAAACTTATTTAAGTGCTTGCGGGTTGAGTAATGATGGCCGCACATATACTAGATATTCTTGAAAACTTTTATATAAATTGTTCCAATATATTTATTCTAAAATTAAGTAAAACAATACTGCACCTAAGCCAATAATTATCAATTTTTATTATTATCCCCCGAAAACTAAAGTGCCTAATAATAATTTAAGAGCATTCCTTGTGCCTGGAATAAGCCCGAGATTTTCTTTCCTTTTACATTTCCCATTTTCCTTTCTGCTAACGACGTTAGTTTGTTCGCTTTTTCCACCTTGTTTTTGCTTATTAGTACATAGTTTTCATTTTTATGCGACGGCTGCACGAGCATTTTTTATATTTATTTTTTTTGAAGGTTGCTTTCTGACTGGCTTTGTTTTTTTTAACTGGGCTTGTACTTGGGCCATAAATTTTTAAAACTTGAACGCGAATGTGTGCCATAGTGGGCATTGTTGATGTTCTTGCCGCACTTGCAGGCCTGAAAATGCAAAGCTGAAAACTTGCTGTGAAACATTTCCCTGCTGGTTTATGATGTTTTTTGTCGCTGTTGATATGTTAATCGCGCTGTGCATGCAATTTTAGTATTATTTGGCCATTTGTTTAAATTTTACGCCACCTCTACAGTATTTTTTTGCCACTTGAAATGCATTTAACATTAAATTTAATGGAAGCAGTCGGGGTATTTAATTTTAATTACAAGGCGTACATAAAAAATGGTAACCTATGCCGCAAATTATTATGTAAATTAGTAGAAAGGGGGAGTAATATCGTATACACACACCTTTTCAAATACAATCAAAGGTATGCTCATATAAATGCTTCGAATTTTATTGTTTTACGTGCGACGAGGTCCTTTCCCTGGTGTGAGCGTGTGGCAAAGAGTGTGAGACCTCATAAATGGTGTAAGGCGGCCATAAACGCCTCTCTTTGGCCATGTGTGTGAGTACCTTTGTCATAAAATGTGCGTAAAACTTCCTTCTGGCATTTATTGATAAAACGTTTGGGCAATGAATTCCTATTTGAGAAGAAGGCTTAAGGCCATAGAGAACAAATGTTATCTGCTGGATGGTAGGGGAAAAAACTGGAAGATTGCATGCATACCTGGCATGTCTTCTCGGCGCTTTATTTATTCGATAATCATTACGCAGATAGTGGAGAGAAATTTCCAGGGTTAAAGAGGTTTGGGGGAGTTATTACGCATAACTCTACATAAACTCCTGTTGTAAATTTAATTATGATTCATTTTTACAACAAACATTAGCTGAATTATTAGTTAAAACATTAACAGATAATTATTCTTTATACCAACATTTTTTTTATTTTCTTTATTTTAATTTTAAGTTTATTACGTAACTAAAAGAACACATGAAAAAACTAAAGTTCATTACGATTTAAGTTCTTAATAGGGTTTATTTATTTAAATTATTTATGGGAGAGTAAAACTTTTGCAGCTCCATAATGAAGCACTAAAAATGCAAGAAAACTTTACGCGTTGACTCAGCAAAGTTGTTTCTTCTTTCGCACCCCGAAAAATTTCACAATCATGATGTGGAACTTCCAGGGACGTAACGCAGTCCAGATACATTATCACCATCTAACATCTTGTGGGCGTTATCACCGAATGTCAATGGCAGTTATCTGACGATAGATACAATTGCTCTCAAAAACTGATATAAAAGCGCTGTTCAGCGAAAATGTCCCAATCGAAACGCTTAGCCCCCTTGAATTGGTTCAAAAATGGAATTTTCCCTACTGATAATTGTGCTTGTGCTCTTACCTGTATTTACACCTGTCCACTGTCAGGTGGCCTGCAATGCGAAGAGCGGTGCTGTCCGCCAGAAACGCATCGTTCTTAGCAACCCGGGCACAGGTGAGTTGGCCAAGTTGGACACTTGCCAGTACCGCGTGGCGCCATGGAGCGGCCAGGTGTGTCAGGTGCGCTTGGATTTCGTGCGCTTGGAGCTGCCGCAGCCGCAGGTGAATGCCAATTCCGGACTGCTAGAGTGCGTCGATTTTCTGCAGGTTCAGCATTTCCGGCTGTGCGGTCGCAACAGCGGTCAGCACTTGTATTTACCAATTCGTCGAGGTCAGGAACTTCAGCTTTTGTTCCAGTTGGCCACGCCCCTAGGTAAACAGTCCTCCTGGCAGTTGACTCTCACCCAGCTGGAGTGCCCCAGGGATTCCCTTACGTTGAATACAAGGCAACCCGAAGTACAGACACCAACTGTGCGACCGATTCTGCCCTTTTTGGGCAACTTTCTGCCACGAACCATTTTCGGCGGACAATCTGGGATTGGCTCGGGGTCTGGTCCTGCTGCTCAGCTCATCCAAACTCTTACCTTGCCATCTGTAGCTGATCTGGAGATGCTGGCTCCTCTGGGTTGCGATCAGTACTTTCGGACTACCACTGGAGGCATCGTGAGCTTCAACTTTGCTGGTGGCATCTATATGCCCAACATGAGGTATTCGATTTGTGTAAAGGGAGCGGCAGACAGCGAGATAAGGTAAGTGACTCAGCCCAGCAACAGGCATTTTTGCTCTATATTTCCGATACTTTCATAGAAAGAATATGTGCATCACTTTAAAGTAATTAGTTCAAATTACATGTACAATTAAAATTTAATTAGTTGCAATTACTACTGTTAATATGAAGTAAAAGCTTTCGATTGGAAACTGCATGTTTTAAAAGTAACAGTTGGTTAAGCATCGCAAGCTAAACAATTATTTTGTTTCCATTTTTTTCGCAGTAAATGGATAATGTAACTTAATCCTTAAAAATTATAAAATTTTCTAAAAATTAAATTGTTTAAATCGACCAGAAACCTGACCAGATATTTAGTTTTGGTTGTTAGTTACGCGAAATAATCATTCATTATCATGGCAAAGCCAAAAAAGTTGGTATCCCTTTCCATAAATTTGAAATTTTATCCAACCTGATTACTCGCCCTAAACACTACCGAATATTTTGCCACAGCAAAGCCAAAAAAAGTCGGATTATGGAATATTGTATCTCGTTGAGATTGTTATTCAATTTCTAATACAACTTCATTCGGACTTTAAAATATACATTTTGGACCATTTTTTTTTGCAAAATTAGATGATCTTACCCCTTTCCAAAAAGATGAAGTTGATTCATAAAAAATTCGTATAAAAATGAATAAAATCCTTAGTTAAACTCAAACTAAATATTTTATTGATTAGTTTTATATGTTATGTTTTCTTTTATATGAATATTTTAACGTTTTTGTTTATTTTCTCTGTTTATGCTAGCTACAAGATCGAGCACTTTGAATTGTCGAAGGCGAACTCCGAGCAGTCAGGACCTGCCTACGACACCGATTGCCGCAGTACAGTGTTGACTCCGTTGCGTGTATCGGATTACCTGGGCATTCCCAATTCGTACATGGTTAGTAGGCCGGAGCTTCAGGCCACTTACTACTGTGGCAATGGTCTGACTGGACAGGAACTTGTGGCTCGACCACCGTTTGTGCTGCGATTCGCCAGCGACTCGCAGTCCAGTGCATCCGAAACGGGCTTTCAACTGACGTATACGGTCCGCCGGTCACAGGAATCTCCAGTGACCGCAGAACTGTAAATTGGCATAAATAAAGCCGGAGTCTTAACTAAATCAACGCACACAAGTCAACTGAAATTGACATTATTAAATGCTGCAGTGATACTCGCACTGTGAGCCAGGACATTCCATGGCAACGGATTTGCCTTAATTAAATGCCCGGCTCCGGCATTAAGTCACATGTATCTATATATGCAAATAAATTATGGAAGGCCCAATGGCATAAATGGCATGTGGCCGACAATTATGGCAATATGCGTTGGGAAAACGGGTTCAATGGAATGCGGATAGAATTTCATAGTTGATTATTTTGATATATGCCCAACAATGTTGAGCTTGAACAATTTATTGTCTCCGTCTTTTGTATTGAATAAGAGAAAATTATGTGGAATAGATATTGACTTGGCCATTGTGATCACATTTCATGACTTTATGAAGATATGTTATTGAGAAATTTAATTGCTGCCATTGATAGTTGTTGTTTTATTGTTTCTTTAAAGCCAAAACGGTTGTGTTTTGCTAATTATGAAATTGTTTCACCTAAGGTGTTTTGGAATTTAGTTTACAATTAGGATATTAATTACATTCTCTATGAGCGAAAACATAAAGTTCTTCTAAAGGTAGAACTTACTTTCTTGAAAGACTTCTCAAATTTTAAGCATGATTCTTGGTAACTTTTAAATAAAATAAACTCGACAGCTACGTCGACGTGGGTATTTACATATATAATTGCAAACTGGTGTAACTTGTTCGGATATTCCGTGGGAGGAAATGCTCTTCTTCGCCCCCTTAAACTTTTCACACATGGCTGCAGGAGGCGGATGTAAAAGCTTTTCAGGGGTATGGCGGAAGGGATGCAGTGACATTTTGATGCCGACACAGCTGCCACAATTGCCAGCCCATGTATTTTTAATGAAAATTTAACAAAATTTCTGCGGTTTAAGTGCGAAAATTGTTGAAAGCGTGCAGCGCAGGTGGTTGATCGATATACATATAAAAATACATATCGTATATTATTCGACGGAAGCGAACGCGGAAGTGCGAATTTTTGCGATTCAGTTGATGGAACACATATGCAAGCTGCTGTAAAATGTTGAGCAAATAAGGCCTAAGGCCAAACGGATATGCAAAGGGATAAATTCAGCATTAAAGGGGTCTGGGGACATTGTTAAGTGTCTGGTAAACAGAATGAAATTGCATTTGCATCGATGACCCGAACACTGGGGAAATTGCCTTTCAAATATGCATAGTCATATGCTCCGACACGATGCCAAACAATGTGAGCCAGCTCTTTTGGTCCAACATCGACTACTTTCCCTCTCGAATTTATGTAGTCTCTTCTTTTTCGGGCCAACACTTTTGCTCGTTTAACGTTTCTATCCTGGGGCAAATTGTTTTTGCCCGACCAGCAAAAGATGCTTTGGCATCTCGGACCATCTTGCTATGGGGCATCTTCTTTCTTCGCCATGTGCCTTTGGCTTTGTGCCAGCTAAAAACGAAAACTTAAAGCCTGATCATAATCCAAACTTAAAAGCCAGCTGGGAGCTTGTATTAAATATTGCATTCGGTCTTAATGGTCACTTCATAAATGCAGGCAATTAGAACGCTCGGCACACACTGCGTATGCGTGCTGAAACTTTGGCAGCTGGTAAAAGCCATGATTTTTGTTGGCCAGGCGCAGTTTTAATTGCGGATTTTCCAGAAGGCAGTGAACAACTATAACTGCGATATTTAATTAGATTTTGGCTTCCAACTAAGTAGCCGCATATTTGATTACAAGCAGTTTTTTCATTTAGCCCTCTCCAGCTATCAGTTTACTAACCTAATATTTATTTTGAAACAATACTAACTGGTTTCTATTTTTCGCTCTCAGTTTTTTTCCTGGAAAATTTTAGCCAACTGAAAACTATAAACATAAATTGTTTGGCTTCCACTCTAACCATAACCAATTTTATGAAAGGGGGAATGGAAATAATTCCAGAATGTTTATACCCGTTACTCGTAGAGTAAAAGGGTATACTAGATTCGTTGAAAAGTATGTAACAGATAGAAGGAAGCTTTTGCGACCCTATAAAGTATATATATTCTTGATCAGGATCAATAGCGAAGTCGATTGGGCCATGTCCGTCTGTCCGTCCGTCCGTCCGTCCGTCCGTCCGTCCGTCCGTATGAACGCTGAGATCTCAGGAACTATAGCAGATACAAAGTTGAGATTAAGCATAAAGATTCCTGAGGTCCCGGTACAGCGCAAGTTTATTACAGCATCCTGCCACGCCCACTCTAACGCCCACAAATCGCAAAAAACTAAAATTGCTGAAATCTCAGGAACTATTGCAGTTAGAAAGTTGAAAATCAGAAAGTATAATCCTTAGATGACAGCGCATCTTATAGTAGTACTACTATCCGGCCGCACCCACCCATACGCCCACAAGGCTCAAAAGACGGTTTACGGATTTTCTAGAAAAGCTGATATCTCGGTAACTATAAGTGATAGAAAGTTCGGATTAAGCATGTAGGTTTCTATGATGCTCCCAATGCGATCAAGCCACGCCCACTCTAACGCCCACAAAACCCGAAAACCAAAAATGCAAAACTCTCGAAAACTATAAGAGCTAGACAATTTTGCTTAGAAACACATATTTAGGAGATGCCTCTGCAACTTGCCACGAAGATGCATTTGGCCACGCCCACTCTAACGCCCACAAACCGCGGAAAACTGTGGCGTCTATAATATTAGTATGAATGCCTTTGTTTGACCTTGTATAACTTATTTCTGTTAATATCTATCGATTTACCAAAGATTTTTCAAATCGGAACATTATTTCGCTATTTATGAATCAATTAAGGTTATAAGGCCTCACATGGGCAGTGACGTCACTATAAGCATACTCAACATACTTCCTCTGACAATAGGTGGCGCCTTGTGAATTACCACTAGGAAAATAATATTTTAAAATTTTGTAAAACAGTAACGGGTATCTTATAGTCGCGGCACTCGGCTACAGCGTTTCCTCTTGTTTTTAAATTGAATTTTTAAATTTTTTTTCCCCCAAACCACGTATTCAGAGATTTTTCCATAGTTCTTTTTCGGGGTTAGCGCGAAATGGTCTATGTTTATTTAAGCATTTTTTCGCTGCAGATTTCCCCTCTGATGCTGTCAACTTTGTAACATCTGACCCAACGCCAAAGGCCCAATGCAATTTGCGCTGCTAACAAAACATAAAAAGGGAACCAGGATCCATTGTACATGGCATAGAAAATTGTAACATAAATTCACAAAAAAACGAAATACAAAATATACATACTAGATGCGGTTTTAACATTGTAGTTAAAATGTCAGAAATTATTAATTGAATATGGATTTACTTAGCGGTGAGTTGCCATGCATTCTGGAATTTTTAGCAATATTTTATGAAGTTATTTTTAGAGCAATGGGCTGTGAATATTTTATGAAGTTGCGTGCTTATTTCTTGTACAATAATAAAAACTGACCTTTACATTAATTTAATGTCGGTCTTATCGCGGCTTGAAACACAAGCATTTTCACAAACTTAAATGCCAATTAAATAACATTAAATTGTGCGAAAAATGAACCCTACAGAACAAGTCCTTGAGCCGGGAGAGACTGTCAACATGACAAAGGAAAAAATTAAGCAGCTAAACAGGGTTTTATGGACGGCCGGCAGAAATAAACAAACAAGTCGAGGGCCAATGGAACCTCCGGAAAATCTGTAAGCCAAGGCAACATGACACTGGCCAACTCGCACCCAAAAACACACTCGGACTTGGCCGACACACAAAGGCCCAGGCAAAAGCTAAAGCCAACAACATAATCTACGGGTTGTCAGCAGCCCGAAAGACCATAAAGCCAAGGCAAACGAGCTGAAGGTCGATGGGCGGAAGGGGCAAACCCATCTAAAAGTGGGTAGAACGGGAGAAGCAAACAAATTAGTATGCAAGTCAGGCAGCAGATTAGGACACCGAAGTTTTCGCGACATAAACGGACAGTAGGCCACAATGGGAACACCCGGACATTCCCTCACCCATCCGGTCCTTCAAGCTCTCTTTTTTCTTGGTTTTTGGGATTTAGCCGAAATAATGAAGTCGGTCACTGACGCGATCTGTTGCTTGTTATGCCTAGAGAAAAAACCGCAAAACCATTAAAAATGTTATAGCAAGAAACAGGTGATTGCAGGGACTCGGTTTGTACTTACCTAAGAAAATCCACTAAATAAATATTTTGTTATTTCTTTAAGAAATTCAGTTTTTTTCAAATTAAAAGTTGTTTTCATATAGCTTTCGCATTTAACACAGTCAAACAATGAAATTATATAGCCTTTGTCTGACAGTTCTGTATTTTGCTTGCCACAAAAATAATATTCTCGAGTATCATTTATTAAAAGGTATCATAAGCATTAAAAAAGTATAAAAATGTCAGCCAGTCTGCGTACCTTGACAACCAATTTTCCAAAATTAAACGTTTTTGTTGCTGGTCTCCTTTTTTGGCTGACAGGATGCCTCTTTTTATTTTATTTCTGTTTTTTTTTTTTTTTTTGGGTGTGTTTGTTAAACATTTCATTAAAAATTCCGCGCACAATTGCACAAACCCTGAATAGAAGAAGTCAACCCTTGAAAAGTCACTGGCCAGCCAAAGAATTTCCCAAGTAAAACTGAATTAAAACGGAATTATTTTCAGAAAACGGCTATTATAAGGCGTTCAATGACAAAAGAAAATCTGTCACACAGAAATGAACGTATTTTCATGAATGAATAATAAAGTGCAAAGGCTTGGCTGTAAATCAAATGCTGACCAACAATTTATAAAAGAAAATCTAATAAAATGGAAAATTTATAGGTTCAACGCAGAAATGATAAAGTAAGTTTTCTGTAAAATAAATTTAAATAAATATGTTGGCATTCTTTTATTTAATCTTCTTTTGGCAATTTGTCTACAAAAATATTCTCAATTTTTAGTTTGTTTTTTGACCAAATAAAAGAAAAATGTTATGCTAACACTATTTTTAATTAATAGCATATAGTGACTATGTCTAAAAATAACCAGTAACTTTAATAAATGATTTCTGAACATTTTTAAAGATTTTATCTAGCTTTTTAAGTGGTATTTGATTTGCTAGTAAAATAGTAAATATAAAATCTTAACAAAATTCGAATTACAATTAATCGTTTTATTTAATATAATATTTATATTAGCTACTGACAAAGCTCAAACAATGTATTTTATTTCCCCAAGTTTGCTCACCCCCAACAGAGACTTTGTTAAAGTTATGGCCAACACATACTGGCAGTCATATAATTTTCATATTTTCATACATTGTTTAACTTGTTCCCTCGTCCTTTTCGTGGGCCACAAACAATGTGTGTGCAAAACGTAAGTTTGCGTGCTTGGTGCATATAAATTAGTCGCTTATAATATTCTTTTGGCATTTTTCAAATTTCCAGTTCGGTATTTGCCGGCTCCGGCTGGTGAAAGAGTTCGTACGCCGTAAAGTATGCAGCTTACGTGCTCAAGGATTTCTCCTTTCCTGCCTTCCCATGCATAGCATGAACGAACAGCAAAAAACAATTATTAACATATTAATAAATTTTAGCATATTTGAAAGGCCATAATTTAGTGTAATTCTAGATGCCCGCAGCTGGGCAACACCTGAGCAAAATTGGATAATCCAGCCGAGCACGTAATTTGCATTTTTTTATGGCACCGTCTTTAAAGAGCCCGGTCTGATAATGGCCTTAAACAATGCCGAAAATATCCCCAGCGATTGGCGAGATTATTGCTTTGTTAGTGTTAACAGTCTAATCAGTTTTAAGTGCATTTGACTTGTTTGTCAGCCACTTTGGGTTTATCACAGCCCTCGGCCTTTTGTTCGTTGTACCACTTGTGATTCTTTGTGACAAATATGCCTATTATCATTACTGATAGTCCCAGGAGAAGTAATCCGATTCCCGTATACATACCAATAGTCCCAGCATTTAGGGCAAGCTATAGGGAAGATGATTATTATTTATTTATTTGTTAATGGTTATTTTGATAGATGTCTTACTTTAAGTAAGCTTGTAAGTCCTTCATCTAATTCCGCATGGATTTTCATGGTGAAAAGGGGCGCATAGTGATCATAGGCCACATCCTTGAACAAGCTGGAAAAGGAAAATACATTTTAGAAAAATCAGATAAGACTAAGATAAGATTACCTATATTTAGATAGAATATATGTTATTTGTAAAGATAGATATCTTTATGTAAAGTGTTAAGTGTTTAAAATTAAAGTCACAGTCAAGCTTAATACTCACTCAATGGCCTCATCGCGTACTACTTTCGTGCTAATCATAAGCTGCCCCCTCAGGTTCAGTGGAATTCCAAGAGTGGGCTCCATTATGACGAACATGCCATGCTCGGACTCCTCGGGCTGCAAACCAGTGGTGTTCTCCCTGTACATTTCGTCCGTAAGGTAGAAGTGTGGATGGGACATATAGAACGGGCCATTAAAGGCGGGAGGTCCATAATCCAAGACACCGTTGCGCGGACACTCGCGATTCTTGAGGCAAAAACATTCAGTGTCCGGCGACAATTGGCCATTGTCGAGAGTTCGATTGGTGGACTCATATCGCCAGACATCTATGCCATCGACGGTGAGGTTTTCCTTGGGGTAAAGATTCAAATAACGCGCTGCATCGGATAGGAAAATGGAGGTGGGCTGATCCCAGGTCCTGTCAGGCGACCAAAGTTCCCCCGTGCTGCCATTGACCTTGCCACATTCGCCGGGATAAAATCCAGTTGAATTCTTTCCATTCCATAGGAGAAGATCTCCCATCCGGCTGAGATCTCCATGGCCAGTGTGTACTGTAAAATTTCCCTCTGCCGTTTTGGAATTATTCCTCTCGTAAAACCAGCCAAAGGTGTTGCTGTAAACTGGCAGCAAAGGTGAATGCAGCTGTTCCACAAAGTCAAGCAGATGGTCATAGTAGCCATCGAAAAGCCACTGACCAGCTGTGTGGGTCATGTGGGTGGCGCCACCCTCGCGATTGAGGGCAAAGTTCATGACCTTGCGCAAGATGCGGCGTAATCGGCGCGAGTAGAAAGCAGCTGTCTAAATCAGATAGTAGGATTAGCGGGGATTATACGATGTGGTGTCAGACACTCACACTGAGACTTAGTACTCTCTATTTATACATCTAATGGTGTATATTAAGCTGATGCTCTTAAAATTATTAATTAACAGGAGTTCATTAAATCGTTCCGTTTAAATTATTTTATTATAACAACATTTAAACTTTAAAAATCCTTTCTTACGTGTTGACACCACAGATTTTCGTTTCATTTGTGATTTGTGACTTACCAAAGTTGGAAAATGTGGAGCTATAACCACATCCTCAAGAGAGCCATTTGACTTTTCGGGGAGAAAGTGCCAGGTGCGTTTGCCATAATAGGTCACCTCTGGCTGATTCCACTTCAAATCCTCCTTTACCTTAAAGTCACTGAAAGTGTACGGTCCCAGTTGCTCAAAGTTGGGCTTAACACCCTCGGTGTTCAAATCCTCTGGATTAGTCCAGTTAAATAGGTAAATTGTGCTATATAGTGGCGTGGGCGTGGTCACCCATCGTTTGTAGATGAAGGAGTTGGGAGCCAAAGGCATAATACTGCGAATCCATTGGCGCAATACAGCTGGCCAGGCTGTGCTCAGAAATATCCCAATGACCAGGATCAGACCTCCCACAGTGAAGACCCAGATCTTTTGCTGGCGAACACTGCAGCACCTACAACACATCGCCTCCAATTTATTTTTGCAACTGGTAAGTTTGCATTTTAAGCAGTCTTACTTATAGGCAAGCCCACTTTTGGAATATATTGATGTTTGTTAATGGGATAGAGATTAGATTTAAAGACCGATCCCCCTCGAATTAACGGCTGATTCTTCTATTTTTAATATTGCTTTCGGGGTTTTATCTCGGCGCACTCCTGATAGGTTAATCGCCAAAAGCTTTTCACAAACCACACCACAAAAAAATTGTGAAGAGGTTTTATGAGTAAAGGTATTGGTACTTTTAGATAAGAACGAAGTAGCACAAAAATTAAGTTTCCTGATTATATTTCTCTGAACTTATCTCGGATACTGGTAGAAAAAATATAGAATAATATAATGTATAATACAAATTGATTTTAAAAGTATAAATGCCTTCAAAGTTTTTTTTACTTGCGATACATTTTATTTCCCCGACAAACTTTTAAATTTTTTAGAGTATAATATATTTCTCAAGATTAACAATTCCAAAAATAAAGGCAAGCATTTATTATTTATATAATAAAAAAAAGTTATTAATAGCTATATTTGTATTTATAATTTAAATTACTAAATCAAAAAAAAGTTTATGGTTACTTATCACATCAAAATCATTTTTAAATCACATTTATGTGTTATTACCAAATCAAAATGTTAATACTAAATTACTGGTTTCGGTCAACATCATTCTCCACATTTTCTGGGTCATTCGGGGTTACTTCGTTATCTTTGAGAGTCAACCTATCCGATTCAGCTTGTCCATACCATTTCCTCTTAACGGTTAATAAGACACCAACAGCTATGAGAACGCAACCCAAGCACAAAAATCCAACTCCCGTGTACCTGCCAATAGCAGGTAGATTGAGTGCCAACTGAAATAATTTTAATTATTAATTATATATTAAGCAATATTTAATTCTAAATTTACCTTGAGTTCTGAAGCCAGTGCTTCATCAATTTCTGCTCGACTGGCGGTGGTGAAGAGAGGTGCATAGAAACTGGGAAGGTCCTTCAGGATGCTATTGTAAAATATTGCCAATATTATTAAATTATTTAATGAATTATAGTTCGAACAACTCACTCGATAATGCTATCTGATTCTATGAACAACGTGATCATGACATTGGCGTTGACTTTCAAGGGCACACCCATCTTGCGCTCCATAATGATATAGAAGTTATTTTGATCATAGTTCGGCTGGTAACCGTTGATCGTATTGCCATAGCTCTCATCGGCATACATAAAATGATCCGCAGACAAGTACATGGGAACTCCCTCGGCACAAGGCCCCAAATCAGTGGCTCCAGTGGCAGGACAGTTATCCGGTTGTCTCTCCGAAGGACACCAGCACTTCGCGTTCCCATTTATCTGGCCATTGTCAAAGGTGTTCGGTGTTATTTCATATTTCCATCCCGTGATTCCCTGAATTGTTTCACTCTCTCCTGTAAATTCCAAATTGATAATTCTACAAGTGTCTGGGATAAAGATGGTCAAGGCCTTCTCCTTGGGCTCGTCGGGAACGAAAAGATCGGTGGTGCTGCCATTGAGTCCTCCGCATTCACCCTCGTACCAGCCAGTGTGATTCTGACCCTTCCAGTACTTAATTTCACCCATCTCCTTGATGTCACCTACGCCAGTGTGGACAGTGAAGGGTCCTTCAAAGTCCTTGGATCCATTGCGATTGAGGAACCAGGCAAAGTGATCAGTTTCGATTTCCGGAGCCAGCGGATTGTTCAGGGTCATGGCGTAGTGAAGGAACTCATCGTAGAAACTGTCAAAGAGCCATTCGGCTGCCGTGTGGGTAACAAAGAGATGTCCTCCATTCGCATTTAGAGCCTGGTTGAACATGATCTTTAGGAAGGCGTTGCTGTTTCTCATTTGGTTGGCTGCAGCCTGGAAAATTCAAAAAAATTAAATTATTTTAGATCTGTACTTTTAGAAAATTAAATATTAAGATCATTGACGATCAATTTTATGAATAATATTAGCGATATTATTTGGCAACAAGATTTCCCTCAGATGAATAGTTAAGTTTATAAAAGAACTTAAGAAACTAATTAAAAGAAAGCTCTTACCAGCGAAGGTAAATGGGGTGCAGTAATTAGATCCGTTTGCTTGCCACCGGACAGTTCTTCCTCCCAGAACCAAGTTCTCCTCGGGTTAAAGGTCACCGTTCCATTATCATGCCACTCCAGATCCATTTTCTTTCTCTCCTCTCGATATACATACGGACCTAGTTGTGCGAAAGTTGGTTTCACTCCATAAGCCTGCACATCTGCGGCATTTGTCCAGTTCCAAAGATACATGTACACATAGACGGGAATGGGCAGCTCCTCCCATTTTTCGAAGGTCTTCGAAGTGTTTGTCAATGGCAGGGCCTTTTCAATAAATCCTTTAGTACTCCTCATTCATTCAGTTTTTATACCACAACTAACCTTCATAATCTCCGAGTCTATAAAGCCTGGCCACCATATTATGAACAAAAGTCCAGAGACCGCGAAAAGGGTTCCAAGGCCAAAGACCCAGACCTTTTGTTGGGTTACTCCACAGCAGCTGCAACACATGTTGAGGCGAGACAAAGGCTTCCAAGCGACTGGACAGCGGAAAAATAGCACTAGTGTTTATATTCATTCAGCACTTAATAGATTATCCACTAGTGAATAACGCAGCGGCTAATCGGTATGTCTACTGTAATAATTTGCTTCGTTTTGTTTGCTCAACTGATAACGCACTGTATGTATTCTGTTCTTGATAAATGCAGATTACTGCACCGAATTTCTTGTGGGTGTTTGCTTATCAGCCAGACTACTTCATATTTTCTAACGCCAACTACTAATATCACTTGGCAACCTGATATTGGGTTATGACCGCGGTTATAAGAAGTTATCAGATCTGTGGTATTAGGTGTTAATGAGTGCCCAACGCCCAAGTGGTGTTATAATTTCCAAACCAAAATGAAATTGTAGAGTGTTTTCTGATTCGCCTTTGCTAAAATATTTAAAACTATTGATTAAACTATAAATGCGGTCAACTATTTCTGCCTTGGGTCTTGCCATCTTATCGGTTAATATAGCTTATACTTAGCTTATGTGTATTTGGAATGCAGTTTTATTGTCAACCGCTATAAAGTATCACATCCAAAGACTATAATCTAATCTGCCTCAGTGAAATTGGATTACGGCCATTATGCAAAATCATTTTGCCTAATCAACCATCTAGATTGCCAAAATGTTGGTTTGTCGCCTAAACATGATTAGCTGCATTTCTAGCTGTATTTCTACCGAAAAAGGTGCCCGCTGGAAAATGAATAACAACCAGATGCGTTGCCGTAAATCTTTGTGGCTAATTGAATGTGCCACAAACCATTTGTCTGCAAACGTTGCAACTTAAATGGGTATTGGTGTTGAACATGGCAAGAAGGAAGTTTACTTTACTTTAGCCCATATACAATAGATGAATCTGAAAAGCGCATTAAGTGTTTCTCTTATATATCTAATTATCCATTTACTCAGACTTAGTTCTGTAAATTTGGCACAGTCAGGAATTAATTAGTGTATCAAGTTCTTAGAGTATTAATAATTGGAATTACTTAGCCGCAAAATCAAATCCCACTACAAGTAAGTGAATGGAATGCACTGGCTACTCTTGATTTCCCCATTGCACTTCAATAAATACATAATCAGCCTACGTTGCAAGATACCAAGTACAGAGGAAATTCCATGAAAGTTCATTATTACGTGTGTGCATTCCATTAAAATTATTACATATTATTAGAATATTCCTTCTCTAAAATGCTTTTAAATTTCTAATATTGATATTTTCCTAAGATTAGTTTTAGTTAGTATTAAGTTGCTCATTAAACAAAATGACCATTTACATACATAAACTCCGTTCATATTTAATTGTTTGTTTAGTTATAAATATAATACACATACACACATATATGAATATTGAATTTGCTATATAGGAAAAGTACGACGACTGCAGTTCAGAACATTTCAGCAACATCAGCATTTATTTATTAAGATCCACAAAAATCGGTTAGATTTGTAGAAATACGCCATTTTTTGTCATTAGTTGAGGTAGCCAGAATCTGTTTAGGCTTCGATGGAGCCCTCGGCTTCCAATTGGGCCTTGCGACTTGGCTGCAAATTAAAGATATTTAATTATATTTTAAGTATTTTTTACAAGGAACAGTTCTACCTTAGGATGCATCAGGATGAAGGGCAGCTCAGCGCAGAGCTCTCCGCCCAAGGCTCCCAAAAAGAGCTTGACCTTTACTGCATATGAGACAATTATGCCAAAGGCATCCCTGGCATCCTGACTGGCAATACTGGAAAATATAATTTAAAAGTTATATAAACAAATGGGAATTCTTATTACATTATCTCATATTCTTACAGTGTGGTCGAGGCCAGAGCCGTCTCCTTGCGCTTAATATCTCCCTCGACGGCGATGCCAGCGCGATCACAATTGGCCACCAGAGTGGGCACCAGGTACATGACCTTTTGCAGACTAGATCCCGGGTTCAAGGGACACCCCTCGCTTGTCTCCATGAAAGCGATCGTATTGCGGAACTGGCCGTTCTGGAAGAGCACCACATCTACGCCCTGCTGGACCATTGCCTTGACCTTCTTGACCACTTTGTTGGAGTTGTTGCGCACGCAGATGTTCACCGAGATCTTCTCGCCGTGATGGTACAGTTGCTTATCGAGGGTGACCTCCAGTTCCAGTTCTCCGGGCGACAAAAGGAAATCCTTGCGGACAACGGTGCAGGGCTGAATTCCCTGCTTGGTGGGTGCGTACTGCACCTTGCGGATTCCCAAATTGATGGTGCTCCTGCGATGCGAACGATCGCAGTCGCTGTCCCCGGTGAAGATCTTCACGAAGTACTGGACTCCACAGGGTTGACTCTCGTCACTGGCCTTCTGCTGGAGAACCACAGAGGCCGGGGAGCTAGGTGGCATCTGCATCACGAAAGGATAGGCATTCGATCCCAGCTTCTTTAGCAGGCGCTCCTGCATCTTGGTCAGCTGGATGTCCTGCTTCTGGGGTGGGCACACCTGCTGCGAAACCAGGGTCAGTTCCTTCTGGAACCTCAGGCCGATCATCTCGTCATCCTCTCGTCCATAACGGAAATTGCAGACCAACTGCACAAAGATCTTACGGTTTTGGCGCACGTACTCATCGTCCAGCACCACGATTCCATCTGCAATGGGATGCTAATTAATTGGAGATTAAGGCAACGATGGTCCCAGCCTTGTGGTCACGTAACTAATATGCACGGTTTGCTATTAGTGCAGTAACTTTGGATTACAGGACAATTTAATTATGCCAAAGGTTATGTCTTGCTGACCAGGACAACTTAATTTCAATGGAATTTGAATTATTTTGCTTTCATTTAATTCCTGAATGTAGTTAATTAAAGTTTTCCTTGCTTAGGCATGTTTCTTGTAATATTTTGAGTTTTTTTTAGATAGGAAATCACTTTTGTAAGTAAATGTATTTACTTCATAAATCACATTTTACTGGTGCTACCTACCAATTGGCTCCACTTGAGTCACGGAATCCACAAAGTCACGCCTGTTCATGTAGAGCGTGATCATGTTGTTCGGGGAACACTTCTTGAACACCTTAAAGTTGACCACCATTTTGAAGCTGTTTACTTGAAAGTTTCTCCGGTAATAAATTATTAATTCGATGTGAATTTCACGTTCCGCGCTCGTGTGTTATGGGATACGCCGCGTTGCGTGGTCCGCTTGGCTATTAATTAGAGCTCATTGGCAATCCGGCATTTATACCTGGCATTGTGGCACCTGTCGCCCCTGTAAATTCAATTAGTCGCACAGCAGAAATTCAGCATTTCTCCGGCGGTAAACGGATATGGCTTCCACAACCTTGCTGCGCAGTGTCTTTGATATTGACATTGCAGTTGCCGAGCAAAATCGAAGACTTAAACATTAAATAATGCGCGCCCAACACGGCGTATTAGCAATGCAGCGCACAACATATACAAAAATAGCTCGTGAAATCAATATAGACTGTGTATTTTTTTGTTTGTCGTTTTCCTCCCGGGATGACGTATTGGTACACAAAAATTACGTTCTGTCCGATTTTCTTTTCCTAGTTTACGTAATTCTTTTTAATTTAATTGAGGCTTTTACTGTCCTCTGCTAACTACTGATAAGCGTTCCGTTTTTATGTTGCAAATTACTTAACTTTGCTATGGGTGTACTTAATAATGGAAGAGAAATTTAAAACTATTTAAGTTAAGTCTTCTTTAAATGATGTATTTACATATATACATAAGTGCGGTATCAACGAGATTTCATAATTAGTAAAATGTGAATTGCAATGACAGAAATGATTTCATTAATGAAAAGCTTTATTTTATTAATTTAAATCCAGAAATGTTCATTTATTTTAATGATTTTGAATGAAAGATAGTTTTAAAAAGGTTAAATCATCAGATACAGATAAAACAAAAACAATTTTATGTATTAAACAAGTAAAGTGGAATTCCCCAACGATTGTATATATTGTGAGTAAATAATGAAGTATAAGCACTTAAACTTCACCAGCAACTGTCACTTTAAGAACCTGGCACATTCAATTATGTAAAAATATTCTATTCAAAGCTCTGTGCTCCACCCTAACCATTTGGCCATTTTCATTTTATGCAATGAAATCACATTAGCATAAAGTAGGCTACTTAACAAAGTCAATGAACGTAATAATTATACTCCTGACATTAAAAATATGAACAAACTTGTGTGAAATATATTGTCCTTTATTGTGTGGTTTGGGAAAATGCGGAGGGTTTTCCCCAACTACACTCGTGTGTGGAAATGGGCGGGGAAAGCGGCGGCGGACAGTCGCCAAGGGTCCAACAAAACCGACAATGAGGCCCTTAATAATAGCAAAACTTTTGCACTCACGACGTGTGGGCCAGCAGGAAAATGGCGCTGGTTATGGGCTTGTCTCTCATTTAAATACATTACAAGTGAACTTTCCGAGAGGCGTGGACACGAACTCATCCTAGGGAGTTGGCAATATGTTGTGAAATGTGTCGTGTTTAAGATTTAGTTAAGAAAGTGTAAAAGCAATTAAATTCAATCAAGTTGGATAAAATCCCAAGCGATTTCTTAACATTAGATAAAGTAAATAATTTAAATAACTAGGAATCTTAAAGATCATTTAAGATTGCTAGTAAGTGGTTAAAGTTCATAGTACTTTAAGTATTTGTGTGCTCTGCGGTAACATCCACTTTGTACAAGTATAGCTATAACCAGGAAACAATTGCTGGCGACCGCAAAATGCAGTCACTATTATTTTCGCCCAATTGTGCCAGATGTGAATGGCATTAACCCATTTCCGAGAGTACCTCCTCAGACTTCCATAATTTCCCAGTTCGGTCTTAAAGTGACAACGATTTAAACAGCCACGGAAGCAGATTGCAACTATTCTTCTCTTTTGGTCCACTCGAAAGCTAATTTGGGCAATTCAATTGCCTGACCAAGGCGAGACAAAGTCGTCGGCCAAATTGCATTGCACAATCAGCGCGATTGCCACGGTCCGAGCTGCGGAGTTTGGCCAAGAGCCCAGGGCAGGCATAGAAGCCAGTGCAATTGTCGTTTGGCAAAATCGACGGCCAACTGGAGCCAGAGTTTTAGTCGGAATCAGATTAAAGTGAGAGAAAAGTTTTACTATTAACGAGAATCAAATTACTATTAACAAAAATTTAATTGTAATAGGTAAGATATAAAGGTGTGATTTTTAAAATTTTTATGTTTTTATTGATTTCCAACAATCTAAAAATCGAAAAAAATTAGCAACACATTTGTCTTATTAATCCTTTCCATTCCAAAAGAGTTTTAAGAATCTTTTAAGAATATAATTTTAGTACCAATCAGTTCATAAAATATAATTTTTTTTATAATTTTTCCTAAATATTTTCTTTATATATTAATTTTGATATTACGGAATACAACATCGATTTTTTCTGTGTTGCATTTAAGAACGAGTAGCAGGCCTGGAACTTTCAGGTGGTAACTTGGCTCGAACCAAACCACCTTGATGCATGGCCGACATCTGCCTTTGAAACGTGCGCTCGGGCAGCCGCAAAGTTTTAGGCCAGAAGTCGGGCTGCGAACCACTCATCAACCTGATCAGGGCCAATAGCACGGAAAATTGCAACGAACCCGAAATTGTTGTCTTATGAAAAGTAAAAGCAAACAGAATTGGCGCCCATCCTTGGCGCTAGTTGCTGCCATTTCCAGTTACCATTAGCCGAAGGAAGGACATGTCGCACCCTCAACAAAGGAAAAAAAAAATAAAGAAGAAAAAAGCCGTAGAAATATACAGGACCTGTGCTGCATGAGCGAACTTGGCAGCGATGTCGTCGCCGTCTGACGATGTGCAAACTGGCGAAGTGACAGCAAATGGCGCGGAAACAGTGTGTACGCCAACGTCAACTAATCGTGGGTGAACAAATCTTTGTATATAGAGGGGCATATCCATATATACATATGGACTCGGTACACAAAATCCAAGCTGATTTTGCAGCCAGGGGCCGTAGACAGGTAGCTGTTGCTGTTGACGCCAGTCGGTTTCAGGTGCACTGCCTTCCGGATTTTATTCATGATGGCTCTGAGGCATGATTGTTTTGACATCTGCATTGGCGTTGGTTTAATAGTTTATCCCGCATATCTCAATAATTGATTTAATTCTGGGAACTGGTCGACAGAATTTGACCTTAATAATAACATACTTGTTTAGAGTTTATTGTTGTTTAAAGAGTTGAAACATAATGTTACCATTCATTTTTGATCTGACAGAGGTTTCTCAAAGTATTTTATTGAAAATATAAACCAATTTGGGAATTCGAAAACCAATAGCACCCAAAGGTCTACCAATCGAGTCAATGGAACACTGTATTGCATATGATACTATTTTACAAAAAAAATTCCATGGTAAGACGTTCAAATAAGCGGAATACAAAGAAAATGCTCGAAAAATAGCGAGGTTCCTTTTCAGCGGGCCAATTCGTACCATATGTACGAACGTGTCATGAGCTCTGCTGTTGGCGTAGTCCGAAAAATACCACTATTCCTGGCTAATTTCCCAGGTGCATGCTTGCTTGTTAAATTGATGTATAGCGTATACCATATAGCGTACAGCAGCAGGCCAAGTCCGAAACCGAGTCAGCATGGCAGCGGCGTGCGGTGAAAGAGGGTATCAAAGTGGCAGGCCATGTGGCAGAAAAGGGGGGCAGTAAGGGTGAGATAGAAGGGCAAGAGCATAACTGAAAATATTGTGAAAACGGCATTGACCTCCGCACACAACAATGGCTGCAACGGAGTCACCTGTACAGGTACCACTCTTCCGACAGAACGCCCTCTTTACATCCTGGTTCGGTATTTGCGGTCGGGTTTTTGACACAAATTTTGCCGATGACATGTTCAATACACAAAGCTGCGTGCTTAAGTTCGCTCATCCGTATTGTTGAACCATGGAGACCCGACTACATGTAGTCCTCAATATTTGCAGCCAGCACGTGTTTAGGGTTGCCACAGCGCCGTAGTACTCCGACTGCAATTGGGTGGGGATGTGGTCAGCTAACTGGGGTACTTTGAAGCTGTTAGCTTTACTACGAAAGTTACTTTTTTGTTAAATTTTAATTTTCATGAAAACGTACAATTTTTCATAACAAAAAAATATTATTTGATAGACTAGAATTAATATAAAAATATTATTAGAAAAAATATAAAAACTGCAAATAATGTAAGTATTAATCCAACACTTTGCTATTTTTTTTAATAATTTTTTTTTTTTTTTTTATTTTAAAGACTTGACTTTATTTTTAAAGACTTGACCTTATTATATACCTGCCAACACTATTGTGCCTCTTGTGTGCTCAGAATTCAACTTCATTTATCACATACAACGAAAAGAAAAAAGTACACAGCGGAAATACTGCTCTGGTTTTTTCGCTTTAAAGTACTCTGGCCAGTTTAAATTTGCATTTCAAGCTGTCAGCGGGTGTCAAATAAATTTGACAATATCTACTTTTTCCTTTTCCTATTTCCGTAAGCCACATTATCCTATTAAGGGATTTAATGGAGTCACACACGCGCGCAACTTTGTCTCATCATAAATCTGAGAAGCCAGCCCAGCGGGTAATTCTCTCTGGAGCGTAAAAAATGGCAGAGGAAGGATGGAAGATGGAAGCCACAGCATTGTTTGATATATTTACCTCATATCGGATATTTATGCCTTTCACTTACCAGGTACCGTATGGATTTATGCCGCAACGATTATGGCCAATGGCCAAAGTTGCCACAAACAGCCAACTTTACCGAAAACCCTCAAATTAGCCAAAAGCTTAAGGAGTGGCCGGGCTAAACGTGTGGCATTTAAATTATTTTATCTGCACCGCAAAAATTTATGAATTTCGAAAAGTTTGTAATAACACCCAAGGGACCGTTTTCGCCCGCTCTGCCAGTGAAAATATATCGACGGCCATTTGGCAAACAAACTGTGAGGCAAATTTTGATGTCTCATCGTTTTTGGGTTCTTCTCGAAAGAAATTTCGCTAAATTCGGTTTTGGAAGAATTTTCTATTTTTCTGTCTGAAAAAGTTTTTCATCTTCATTGATGGAAATGGAGTGGCAATCAATCTTGGAATAACTTTGATTCAAGTTGACTTAAACTTTGCCCACTTGAGACGATTTAATTGGTTGTGCAATAGTTGGTCCTCTTGCCCTCCTTTAA